TTCACCCATCTGAGTACAGTATTCGTGAAAACTGAGGAAGCCTAATTACCTGAGTTTGGCAGACTGCTCAACCTTTTGTTACTGAGAATCCTCAAATAGGTGAGCAAGTAAGATAAAACGAAAGCGGGGATTAAAATTCTCTACATGAAGCCTAATTCCAGGAAACATGTCAAGTCCCTGCAATACAGCTGAATGGTGAAGGGCCTCATATTGGCATGATTTTACATACAAATCATGCAAACCAAAGAGCAAGTTGAATGCTGAATGGGATGCTAAATGAGGAACAGCTGAAAGCATGTAAGACGTGGAAGTTTTAGTGTCAGAGCTTTGCATAAATTTGCAGAGCACACCATCTATCAGGATAAAATTTAATACTGTATTATGTTGGGAGATACGCCTAGCAGGTTAAACCTCCCTGAAAGCAAGATCCTGATAAGAAAAAATGTTATGAACTGGGAACAAAAAGGGCTCAAGTGGCATTATGGACTGAAGCAAGCTCAATTAAAATCATATAACGTCTGCCAGGCTTCAAGCTCGCTCGGTAGACAGAGGTAGCGTTACATCTAACGTGTACTGAACACAATGTTAAAATTTCATATACAAATGTTCTAAATGTATAAAATGATACATGTGACTTCTAATTACAAGTTGGGGAAACAGGTGGATACAGATGGGCGACGAATTAAAGCAAATTGCACACATGCCGAAGACCTTCAGTGAGAGAATCTGTTGGGTTTTTGTATTGGTATGGGGGTATGTTGCCAGCACAGTTTTGGTACTGTCACTGCCATTACATTTCTCTGAGAGATAATCCTGATGCGTGATGGGAGTAATCAAGCTTGATCCACAGGACAAAAAAGTTTACTGAATGGTTTGATGAGTGTGAAGGTGAAGAATCGTGGTCACAAATAAAATACAAGAACATAATCAGGACATAATAAAGAATAATGTGCATCTCAGGATGTCTTAAAATTATTTAAACAAAACCTCAGATGAACTACAAAATACATCATATGCGCCATGTAATTATGATTTTGTAAAAAATAAGACAAAATGAAGAAACATTGTTTGAAAAAATCAAATACATCCTTACTGCTTCAAAACGAAAAGCATAAATAGTAGCCAGGTGCTGTTAATCAAATACACTTGATTAACTGATCATCAGTGAGTGTGAGCACCGCTATGAAAGCAGACGTTTTGCAGTTTTCTTATCTGGAGCATTCAGGTGTGTGTTAACATGATGACAGGGAGGAAAGACATCTGCAATGGGCTTAAAGAAGCAATTGCTGCCACCTGTCAGTATGAGAAGTGTCGTAAGGCCATTTCCAAATAATCTGCAGTTCATTCTTCAGCATGAAGGATCACTGACAAGTGAGAAACATTCAAGACGGCTGCCAGTCTTCTAAGGAATAGATGTCCCTGCGAATCTATCCTAAGGTCAGACTGTGCGATGCTCAGAGAAACTGCAAAAAAACCAAGAGCTACATCTCAGTTCTACAGGCCTCGGTCAGCATGTCAAATGCTAAAGACACAGCAATCAATAAAAAAAATAGCTGAAGGTAGATTTCTCTCTTTAAACAGAGCTTAAACTAATTTTATGGGTGAAATTTAGGGTCTGACATGAGTTAAGAGAAGAAAAGGAAAAAAAAATGTAAAATTGATTTTAAGAGAGAGAAAATATATGCTTGTGTCATCAGTGACTGACATATTGTGAACAAAATGATGTGCAAATCAGTGGAGGCTTATTATTTTCCCATCAAACAGAGCAATAAGAAAAGCTGAATATAATTCAGTAGAATGAAGCTGAATGAAAGAGTCCCATTCACTACACAGGTGGATACATAGTTATAAAATCAAAGCAACAAAAACAATACAACAATGTTCATTTAATCATCTTTATTCGCAAGACAAATACACCAGGCTTTATTAACTGGTGTATGTTTGCCTTCACACTAGAGTAGACCTTAAATCCGGTGAAGATCTGATTTTAGTTGCATCTATTTTTAAAAAAGCTTTGAGAGGTCAGAGCGGTGTGGTTGTGACTTTCTTCACATTAACACGATCCTTTTTTGAACCCCTGGTTTTATGTTGCAGGGTTCTTTCCAAAATCTTCTTGAAATGCACAAAGAAACAGGCTGTAAAATACCAAAATTACTAGTCAACCGATGGATGCTGAAAAACAGCTAAAGGAGAAAACAAGATAAGTCCAAGTAAAGTTCAAGCAAGGCACCCAAAATATTGGAAAACAAAGAGGTTGAAAGAGCGGGTGAAATGCTGACCTGAAAACACACAAGAGAAACACAAACATTCAAGACACACAAAATAAAGTTTCTGGATATAAATCAGGCAAAAAATATGCAGAGCACTTCATGCAAATTGACACAGGGAAAAAGTAAACGCTAATGAACACAAGACAGGTGATTTAAAAAAATAAAAAGAGAAATACCCAGCATTTTGAGTTTGTTTTGTATTTTTGATTCTTTCTTTGTATTATAATGATTATTTAAGCTCTATACAGCTTAGTCTTCAGTTTAGTTCTTTAGTTCAGTTCTTCTACTGTCCCTGAGTTTGGGGTTTTTTGGTTCATATTGGGTTCCTTTTGTATCTTTGTCTCATCCCTGTGTCTCCAGTAAGAATCTGTCATGTCCTCTGTTTTTATGTGTCTTTCCCCAGTAATGTCTCTGTTTGCCCCCTCTCTCTCTCGCTGTGTATATCGCTCACCCTTCCTGTGTCTAAGTCATGCCTTTGTGTTTCGTCTCCTGACCTGTTTCCTAGTGTTTCCTCCTTCTCTCCTCAGCCTGTCATGTCTTCCACTGTTTGCTGTCCCCATCCTAGTGTCAGCTCACGTATACGTGTCACTTCCTGTTTTATTTTGACAGTACCTCATCTCATGTGTGTTATATTCAGTTTTGCTCCCCCTGTTTGTGTCTAATTTGTTCCAGCTTCGTTTCCCTGCTGTCTCCACTCTCCTAAACACCTGCATTGTGTGTCCCAGTCTCCCCTTGCTTTTTGTCAGATCGTCAGTTCTCCCTCCATGTTTCCCTGCCACGATCCAAGTTCTTAGTGTTAGTTTACTGTTAGTAAGGGTCTTATTCTTGCCTTCGTTTTGTATTTTTGTGCAGCCTTAATAAACGACTAGCTTCTGCTAACTTGAGTCCAAGCATCTGCATTTGGGTCCCCGCTTCGAATACATGATCTTCACCTGCAGATCGTGACATAAAAGCTATGAAAATACCCAAAATCAGTGCACCTATCCAATAAAACAGCACTCTCAGGGTAGAAAATAAAAATTGTCCGATTACTTTCCTGGGTGCTCCTGCAATTCAAACCATAAATAAACCATAAATAGCAAGAGACGACTTTACAAAAAAAATGTCAAAATCAAGGCTCCTGAGGCCAAGAGAGCTTGTCTATCATTTCTATGTGTAAAGTTCTAATAGAATTTGGATTATTTTTCAGAAGATGAATTGCTCTCAAGCTAGAATAGGCTCCACACCCCTGTGACCTGGATAAGAAGAAGAGAATGCATGGATGGAACTGCTATCAAAGTCCTTAAATTCCTTACAGCATTATAAAATCTGTAAATTATGCCTAACATATTCTCAAAGGTCCCCCAGACCTGCAGGAGACATGCGTTTACTTTTCACTTGCTGTGAAAAGTAAACATCATTAAATCAGCATAGTCTTCTTCTTCTTCCTCCTCCTCCGTGTAGCTGTCACCACAGCAGATAATCAGTGTCAAGGTCGCCCTGGTCATGCCATTCTCCTCTGCTGCACCAACCTTTCATCACTACATCCATAAATCTTTAAACTAATCCTATATGATTAAAGTTTCAATCAGCATTTGATTTCCAATAAAGATGAAATATAAACATTTGTTTCCATGCAGATGAAAAAAAAAGCAAAAAAGCATCAATCTTTCTATTTAGTAGACCAGATGTTGGTGAAAGTCTTTCCTGAATGAGAAATTCAATATAAAACAAACTCTACAACACTGTCATGGTTTTTGTAATTATCCCTGGTAATTTTTGCTTACCTCATTCTTTGCTGAGTGTTTTCCTTTTTCGTGTTGCGTCCCCGTGTCTGTGTGTCTCTGCTTTTTGCATGACTTGGTCTTTCTTTCATTTTACTTCCCGCTTTACTTCAAAGCCTAATTCTTTGTGAGGCACTCCTTTTCTTTCCCGCCTGCACACTTATGCCTTATTGCCCCTTTGTTGTTTATGTTCATTTAGTTTGTGTGTCGTCTCTGAGTCTCTTTCAGGTCAGTTTTTACTCTTTTTGTTATCAATTTTATTGACGCTGTGCAACCGACACCTTCATTTTTCATGCATGTCTGCAATTTATTTTCCTGCCAAGTACATCCCACACTAACACAAAGCTAGTGTTTATGTAATCAAAGTCAAATTAAAGGTAAGAGTAGAAAATCTATTTGTGTGCAGGGTAGTATTACAGTGACACACACCACTCTCTTGGACATAAAGGAACTGTTTCTGTTTTGACTTTTGTTTTTTTGTTTTTTTGCATATCCTTAAATACTGGAGCCCCCCCGCCGCGATCCACAGCATGAATGAATGTAAAACAGCAGAGGTGCCTTCTTCCCCCTTAGGTCCGTGTCCCTTACAGAGTGTGTGCACGACACTGACGCTGTTTAAAGAGAGAAGTGGATATAATTTAAAAGGAAGGAACGAACAGTTGGATACAGAGAATTCCAACATAGTGGTAGCGAGCCATCTGGAACATGATGTGATTCCTCCCCCCCCCACACACACACACACACACACACACATGGGGACACCTGAATGCAAACCAAATGTGGGTCACCTCAAACAACGACACCTCCAAACCAAGAATCGAGAAATGTTGTGTCTTAACACCCCCAGCCTATAGCTGATATTCTGCACCACCGTTTTAAGCACACACAGAGTCCCCCTTCTCGTTTCAGAGATGGGAGGGCGGGCTGTAGGACCGAGCAGCCAGCCAGCGTCAGGGCTGAATAATTGATCTCTCTCTATCGGTCAGGGGGACGTTAGTGGGACGTTTCTCTCTCCATCCCTCCATGTGATTCATACCCTGCTTCCCATCACAGTGTTAACGGCAGCTGCTTCACCCTCCGCAAACCGCCACCCCCTCCACTCCTCCTCCTTCTCTCTACGTGTGAGTGTGAGTGAGTGAGTGAGTGCAGGAAGACGAAGCGGCAAGCAGGAGGAAGCACCAAGGACGTCCTTTTTCCAGCCCCGGGAGACGGAGATGCAAGGAACGAGCAGTTAGATTAGCCCGTGCTGCTGTTGCCTGCTGCAGGATAAGTTCGTTCCGGAGGGTACTGCAGCTGAAGCTCTGCTCCTCGATCCGTGCTCGGTGTGTGAGTGTGCCAGGAGAATTTCATTCAGGCGCCGGACGGAGGTAAATCGACGCTTGATGCGGCTGCTTCAACACAAGCCAACGGTTTAGGGAGCTATCCACTCGCCGTGGTGCTGAAACCAGGCTCGTAGCTACTAGGAAGTGCATGTGTGCCTCTCCTTTCACACAATCCCAGCACATGCATGCATAAAAGGGGGGTCATTTTGAACATATGTTACAATTGCAATTTCAGCTGTAGACATGCGTGCTGAGCTCGATATTTCTGCTTCATTAACGTGCGAGTAGCTTTTTCTTTTTTCTAATGTTGAAGCGGGATGGCTGAGTCCACGTCCCTCCAATGGAGGATGGAAAGTTTTACCACATGATCAGGAAAAATACACAGGAGTGGTTTAGTCCGGGATTCACATGCGTGACAGCAGACCGTCCTGCCAGACTGAGGGTCTTTCACGGTGCACTTTCTCAGAAGTGCTCTGACTGCAGGCAAAGCTCAGCCGCACACGGTTTGAACGACCGTCAGCTGTCCTGGAAAATATTTTAAAACAAAACGTTCGCAGATAAACCGCGAGCAGTAGTTTCTGAGCCGGTCAGTAGTTGTGACATGTTTGGCGCTTTTGTGTTGAACCATTGACCTCGGTGCCCTTCAGTTGGCGCATCGAAGAGATGTGTTTTACACGCAAAGGCACCTCCTGCAAACATTTCAGAAATCACCGTTTCCTATTTCAGCTTAACAAATGTAGTATAAAGAGCGTCGACTGTAGTCTAAACTGAATACTCGTCTCCGTGCTTAACGTGCTTGTCGTTTTAATTTGCAGATCTGGCAACAAAGGACTTCTCATCTTCCGCAACTATTGAATGTAACATCGCTCGGATAAGGAAGGCAGGGAATTTAAAGCCATCATCATGAATTTCGTTATGAAACAAGCGCTGGGAGGTAAGTTCTTCCCTTTTTATCCGCTGTAACGACGGATGTGATGAGTGTGGGTCCGCCGATGTTTCTGCTTCTTGTAGAGGTTTAATTACTCTCCAAAGTGATTACTTTTGTATCCAACACCCTCCTTTTCCACACAAACATTATTGGATTGTCACATCTCAAGAATTTATGTCTTTTTCTTTCCTGTTTTGCGCTTTGGTGCTTTTTTGCGCATTTCTCCCACATCTGCTGGTGGCTCTTTGCGCGCGTGGCGCAGTTGGCCCCTGTGGCGCATACTTCGGTGAGCTCATGATTTCTAACGCGGATTAAACCAGTGAGGCCAAAGGGGCATTTTATGTTCGAAGAAGTTCAAACTTTTCACCAAGACGAGTTAAAAACGTTTTTTATGATTTTTCAGTCTTACCCATCAAAAACACAGATGCCTTTTGACCGGGACTCTGCAGCGACTCCTTATCACGAGATGCTGAATGCACATTTTCCACCTGAGGGAGAAAAGATAATCAAGGCACAATCTAATCTTAAATAATTTCATTCCCGCGTGCAGGCACGGGGGTGATTTTCTAATGGCTTGTGCTGCAGTGACTCCCTGAATATGTGAATACTAGAACAGAGTAATTGATTTTGAAGGAGTATGAACTTGTTATGAATGTGCAGACAGTGCAGTGGAAGGTGAAATGACGGAGATGGGTTTCACAAAGCAGCGGATGGTTCGTGATGATTCGTCGGACAGTTCAAAGAATGAAAGTGGTCCACCTTCCCCCTGAACAGCAAAGGTACCGAAAGGCTGTTTGACTTTTCAAGCGCATGTAAGCTGCGTTTGCGGAGGTCGCTTTGTGATCAGAGCAGTTAATCTCTCCAACTGCGTGTCTGTTTTCACCGTTACGCAAAAAAAAAAATAAAAAAAAAAATCCAAAAAAAAAAATCGTAAAACTCGATGACGATGTGAATTATTTTATCGAGGGAGGATCCAACATATTTTAATATGAATCACAGTAAATTTCTTTGAAACGTAATGTAGTGCATAATGTATGGTGGGGAATGTATTTTCTGATTGTCTTTATTCATGAATATATAACAGAATGGCGACATTTTCGCTGGATGCTGGATTTAAAATGATGCTTCTGGTATCTGGTGTCATTTTGTGAACTTGTCATTTTGCCAGTTGGACATTTTTTTATTTAATTTTATTTTTTGTCAGTGGTTCATTAATATGATGACTATGCTACAATGGCTTCTTCTTCTTCTTCCATGCACTATTTACCCTTTACATTGCTATAGGAGACACAAACCTGCCTACTCCACTTTTCTACAAGGAGGTCTCTCCAAACAAATAAATAAATAAATAAAAACATTTGGATGGAAACTACTAATTAATCATTTACAGAGTAATCAAGCGAAAGCTTTAGTTATTTATTTTAAACATCACAATTCTTTGACGAGCAGGTATTTGTTATTAAAATGTTACATTTGGGGATTGAATTTCATTTCTTGCAAAATGTCTTTTTAAGGCCATGCAGTTTTACAGCTGGATACCCCCACATGTTTGAATTGTGATTCATTTTTACACCACTGTAAGACTCAGAAATCCCACCCTGGCAACCCTCCACTGCCCACCATATGGACAGCTACACATGCATGTTTTTAACAAGTTAAAAGATTTGGAGAGCTAGTCGCTGGTCAAACGCAGTGAAACTGTGAAATGCAATGCTAGTGTATTACAGTAAGACAAAGCAAGCATGCTAATATTACTTTTCCCACAGCAAAAAGATCAGCTCATTGTCTGTCTCGCAGACTTTTGTTTCATGAAGCTCTAAAAAAAACCAAACTAAAAGCCAGTTTGAAAATTACTGTTACTGGACCTCCTGCTTGCCACCTTTCCCCCGATTCTTCTTCCGCCATGATCTCCAGATCCTTAGCTAACATCTTCTTAGAGGTAGCTGAAGATCACAGTTGGGTTGCAGTTTGACGTAGTGCCCTAAAGGCTGCTGTAACCAATCATCCCAAGTTACATCATGCAAAAACAGGAGCAGCATAATGCTCCCTGTTACTAGTCAGGGTAGCATCAAAGCAATCTGGAGGCATTTACTGAATAATCAAGTGAAATGCAAGGTGAAATGGGTGCGTAATCTTCTTTTAAACCTTGAATGCACAGCTTTTGTTTCCCACGTCTGGCATCGATCATCATCAGAGGCACAATGACAGGTGCAGATGACAAAGACTTTTTAAAAAATATACTTTAATCGCTCCTCTGAACAGCAAATTTCTTTTAATCTCAAATACCTGAAACTTTTTTGGGGATCTTCCTATTGCTGTTGCTTCTCTCTTCAGCGATGTAAAAGCAACCATCACTGATGTAAAACACACAGCTACTTTTGTTCCAGTCTATACGATCCTAGACAAATTCGTTAAGAAATTGTTATGATTCAGGCAAAGAAAAACCCATTGAATACTTATAATTCGATGGCACTGATGATTAATATGACATCGAAAAGTCTACACATGTAAAATATTTATTATTTGTACTTACGAAGCTTCCTGTTTTATGTTTTTGACAGGTTCCGTAGCAATGTGTTCATCATGTGTTCAAACATTTGGCTGTTAAGTTAGTGGGTGTCCTGGGAGCTGCAGGTGCCCACTGCCAGGCTGGTACAAAGCTCCCCGTCAATAAAAACGAGTCAAATCTGCTGAACCGCACATAAAAGAAACTGCACACATGAGGAAAATCAGGCAGGCTGTGCCAAGGTCTTCATCTTGAGCAGAGTATTTCTTTCCATCTCGGGGAGCAAGTTTTTTGTTTCCTTCTTAAGAAGTAATGAGTTTTTAGTGTGCAGTGGATTAGCTGTGAGCTATTATCTCACTTCTCGTTCTCTCTGCGCACTCTTAGGAGAAACTCACACTCCATCTGCTCCCATCTAGGCACCGATCTGTGCTCTGTCTGTTTCATACGCTGAAGAGAAAGGTCGCTCGCAAGGTGTACTCATCTGCCATCCGCGAGCCTTTCATCCTTTGAAATGCAAGTCATAGATCAGGAGGTCTCAAAAATGTTTTCATGTCAAGGATCCATGCAGAGAAGACTTTGAAAAAGATGTGAGAACAAATACGCTGGTTTGTGTTTGCGTGTTTACTCTGTCAATCAAAGTTTGTGTGTACTGATAGAGTAATGATGCTAACCAGTGGTAACTACATACTCCATCCTCAACCCCTCATCCTCCATTTTGGTGTATTTTGACATATAACTCTGTACAACACTGAGCTGTGAGGCAGGAGACACCCAGAGAGGCAAAAACAGTAGAAGTTATCACAAAACATCCTCACTGTTGCACCTGTATCCACTTCTACCCAAGTCCCCTGCTACCATAGAGAGTATAAAAGATGTGATGTCACTCACTGGTGACTAAAGTCCTGTTATGAAGCCTTAAGCTGTGTTTTTTCACCTTCACCATCTTGTTTGCTGGACACGGCAAGGGAGTGGTGGATCTGTGTCACGCCGGGGAGTGCCGGTGTGTTTGTTAAAGTGGACCCAAAAGCAGACACTGGAGGCAAGGAGCTGGTTTGCAAACAGAAGGCGAGCCTTTATTTCGGCTGAAAACATGAAACTATGAAACACCAAGCATAACTATGAAAAACTATGACAAACCTATTACTGATAACAAAAGGTTATCATGATCAGACGCCCTGACAATGAACAGTAAGAGACAAAGGACTTAAATACACACATGAGGTGATCAGGGGAAGTGGAGACACATGAGGAAACAGCTGACTAGGATGAACATAATGATGCACAGGAAATGTAAACTAAAACACAACGACATGAAAACTGGACTTTCAAAATAAACAGGAAAATATGACAAGACACAGGCATGACAGCATTAACTAGGCAGACCAGAAACATGACACATAAGACACAATAAACAACAATGGGAACTTTAACACATGGGAAGACGACTAAACATACTAAACAATGAATAATAACTACAACTAAGGAACCTAGGACCTAATGCCAAAAGGACTAACTATAAACAATGAATATCAAAATACAAGAAAACACAAGGCGCTGGGTCATACGACCCAGGACTGTGACAATCTGACTGTGAATTTAAGAACACTGCACCCGGATCGGTTAAAGACTTGCAATTCAGAAGTTGTCGACTACCCTGGATGATCCTCCATTCTGATTGTTAGACTAAAACTTACAAAATTAACTTCACACTTTAATCAAAATAACCTGAAACTAACATCAGAGTCCTTAAAGTCATCAGGAAAATATTTACTGAGGTCAGAGAGTGAGGGAGGTGCTCCACAACACCCTAAAC